ATCCCGCTTTAGTCACGCACTCCCTGTAAATAAATATCCGCGAAATTCGCCCGCACTGAAATAACAGTTTAGCGTGTTGGATAATACATAAATAACTTATTAGACGTTTTGTTGTGTAGTATCGCTGAGCATTTTTACTCGTTATTTGTATTTTGACTCGCCCTACGGGCTCGTAAAAATACTCAGCGATACTACACAACAAAACGTCTAATAAGATATATATATTTTACCACCATTCATTACTCCCCATCTTGCCCTCCAAAAGCATCCTTCTGTTTTCGCCAATAACCTCTGATACCCTTCTACTAAGTTATTTATGTTGATCGGTGCGTAAAACCGAGATGCGAGACTTGACTCGTAGCAAATATACTAGGGGTGTCATCCATCTTGGATCACGCGTTGACAACGTAACCGTTCGTAAAGGCATGCACCTGTTGATACTTGACAGGATTTTAAATTCTACGATGTTCACCGCTTTTTCCATATTATCCGCCTCCAAAACTGCCTCCCAGCATTCCGAAGCCATCAAAAAATTAAGAGCTCGTTTCCAGTGCTCACGATAATCTCTGAATTGCACTTTCTGACGAATAGGCTTAAGTTTCTCGCCAGCTGGAACGATAAATCTTAGGTGATCCGTCTTGATTAGCATCTTTATAGGGTAAGTTTTTCCAATGAGATCTGGCCTATTTGTAAAACAATTATCCAGGAATGAATCCCCTCGTGTTGGAAAATCCACCAGAGCGTTCCAACAAGTGATGCGTTTCAGTCTCGTGAGAACCAGGCGATTAAAATCGCCACCGCAGACAATACAAATGTTTGTGTGTTTGTCAAGCATTGTAGCAAAGAAATTCACTAGATAATCCATTAAATTACATTCGTGGTATGTTGGCTTCGGGGGGTGATAAAAACCAGAAATTAGTATGCAATTCCCACTCGACAGCGACACAGTCAGGCAAATAAACTCGTAAAAATTAGAGCGATAAACATCAATGACTGAAAGATTACTCCTGGTATAAATAGCAATTCCCCTTCTATTCCTTCAGTCGCGTCTAGACCGATCTCTGTAGATTTTATAATTCGGAATATTAACCACCGTGTCGGGCACATCATTCTTTAGCTGAGTTTCCGAGACAACAGAAACGCTCAAACCCTGCTTTTCGTTTTAAAAAACAAGAACAAATAGTTTCAATGTGAAAGTAGCTGCTAACGTCAGAGGGATAATTTCAAAGCATTCACATGTCAGTTCATTTGCTAAAACAAATTAAGAAATCTTCAGCATAAGATTTCAGGTTGCTAAAGTCTGGAATGATGTAAGTGAAGACATAGAGCTTTTTCCTCTGAAACGTTTTAAGAAAAACCTTAAGCTAATTCGTCTTGATAAATATTAATAATCTTTCTGCCCTTCCGCTTGTTTTTTACTCTGATATTCCTTGTTTCCTTGACCTTGTTTTGTATGATGAATGAGTTTGTGTGTGTGTGTTGTGTGTGTGTTGTGTGTGTGTTGTGTGTGTGTTGTGTGTGTTACATCTGACCCAAATAATTACATTACATGAATCACCTAAGTATAGCTGCCCTTTTTTCTAGCCCCTATGATTATTTGGGGCAGCTAGTACTCCTTCATATTCTTGTCAATTTATCATTATTTTTATCAGTATTTTTTATGTTTGTTACGAATAAATTTGTTGTTGTTGTTGTGATAATTCTCAATGTTTGAACCTTCCTGGTTGTAGTCAAACCTGGTGGAAAATACAATAAGCAACAAAAGTGGTGACCCATCTGTACAGTGTTGCACATTGTGCCTGTACAACATTTTCACCCTCTCTCCCTCTGTACAGTGTTGCACACTGTGCCTGTACAACATTTTCACCCTCTCTCCCTCTGTACAGTGTTGCACACTGTGCCTGTACAACATTTTCACCCTCTCTCCCTCTGTACAGTGTTGCACACTGTGCCTGTACAACATTTTCACCCTCTCTCCCTCTGTACAGTGTTGCACACTGTGCCTGTACAATATTTTCNTCAACATTTTCACCCTCTCTCCCTCTGTACAGTGTTGCACACTGTGCCTGTACAACATTTTCACCCTCTCTCCCTCTGTAGAGTTTTGCACACTGTGCCTGTGCAACATTTTCACCCTCTCTCCCTCTGTACAGTGTTGCACACTGTGCCTGTACATCATTTTCACCCTCTCTCCCTCTGTACAGTGTTGCACATTGTACCTGTACAACATTTTCACCCTCTTTCCCTCTGTACAGTGTTGCACATTGTGCCTGTGCAACATGTTCACCCTCTCTCTCCCTCTGTACAGTGTTGCACATTGTGCCTGTACAACATTTTCACCCTCTCTCCCTCTGTACAGTGTTGGACATTGTGCCTGTACAACATTTTGAATGTGGTAAGGGAAGGTAATGTTGCGATGTGCAGTTTATTTTTGAAATGTTATGTCTTAAAGAAAATATTTAAAGGTAACTCATAGTTGCGGTTTATTTGAACAGTCCAATATCACAGAACCTTTGATTACCATCAAAGTACTGTAATAATGAATAAAACATTCAAGCAAAACTGTGGGCATCTGTACTAATCCTAGCTGACAAATTGTCGATCAATAATTGTGTTTGAAATCTGAAATTATTTCAGCTATGCATTTCTTTGGCTGCTTACAAAAAAGATATATATGTTTGCTCAGCAAGGTAGACTCTGCGGTTTGTTTATCTTGCATGCTGTCTGCACTTTTTCCCTCACGCCCTATGAAAACCTTTAAACTATATCACTGCTCTCAACACAGGACTTACCAAAATTAAACTTGTAATTTTAAAATCAGAGTATTAGTCATTTTACTTGCTAGAATTGATATGTATTCACAGCTCGGTTTATTCTGAATTTTGATCAGATGAACCACTGGTTGCGAATGATGCAACTTCTAACTAAATATCAAGGCAAGTGATTCCATCCTTGATACATTGACAAAATTACATGGTTATGTTTTTAACAATGGTAAGACAGCGCACGTGCTATCGGACCAATTTCCGGCATAAACAAATGATCAAATCAAATATTGTAGCCTACCGACTTTGTCAAGTTTTTCCGACTCTCCATCGGAAAAATCGTGCATCTCAGGCATAGCAAACGTGATTGACAAGATCTTGAAAACTGGGTCAAGACTGAAACGTACTCGCATCTTGCAAATAAACTTCTGGCGGCAGGTAGGTAATGCTGCGTTACAAAATTGCGTAAAACTCCAGTTGCACGCCTTGGGTAACGCTGTTAATCATTTCCTCTATCCTCATAACCTTAACTGTTTGATTCAGAGGTGATAGTGCAAGGAGAAATTAGATGCTAATCACTCTCAGATGTCAACTTGTTCTGGTGATTGGGATGCGTGTTTCTCTCCATATCCTAAGTTTTTCCTTCTATAGAATAGGATTTACAGAGTGTGGTATTTGTTAGATTTTGTTAGTGTTGTTTCGAGAAATGTTTCTTAATTATTTAGAGAGACAATTTAGTTCATATTTTGGCTGTAAGGGAAATGAAACCACTTAATGCTTCTTGGGTCATATTCTCAGTGATAATTCCCTTGTTTTGTCGTCTTTTTTTAATTTGTTATAGTGGGGAGGTTAAAATTAGCGTTGACGCACAACGGATTGTAGCATTTAATTTAATTTCGTAAATTCAACATTTGAACAGCCTTCTTTCCGAGGGTCTTTTTCTTGAAATCGCAAGCAAAAAACATTCCTTTTTTATTTTCCGCTGTGTGGAAAGGATTTAGGAAACATGTTTCAAAATAGTTTGACTGTTTCTAATTCTCTTTTCTGCGTTGCCTCAACCTAAACTCGTGTTTTGATTAAACTGCCTGAAAGGACAGCGATCCTAAACGTAAATTTGAGATTTGTTTAAGCGCGTTGTCACTAGTATACTTTAGCTCTACAAATCCTATGAAGCTGTATTCGATTCATTCAATTCCGGACTGACAAAATATAAAAGCCCAATCAAAATCCTAATTAATACATATACCAACGTGGTCAGATGATGCCCCTCTCTTCAATTTTCACTTGCACAACGAAATTCGCGTTAGTTTGTTTATCTCTAAATAAGGTATTTTAAATTCCTTTAATTGATCAAATGCAAAGCAGAGTCTGCGCTGTCAGGTAAAACGTCATCACCTCAAGTTATGAACATCAAACATGGACAGTATGGAAAAATCAAATTGATGAACACACCTTACAATTTAATCCTTGCAAGCATAAGTTGAAGCCTTGTGGGTCACCCCCTTCCTCTCCATCCACACCCCACCTCCCACCGACAAAAAAAATATGCATACACTCACCAGCATGCAATTGAGAGAAGTGGTGCGCTCTTCTATTGGCGAGGGGCTGTGGATTACTTGCCAGGGTGGTCCTAAGCTGACTATTACCTATCACACTGTAAGAGGCAGGGTGCGCCACAAGTAGTTTATTTGATTACCTGAGACTTACAATAATTACTATTTTACTCATTTTACTAAAAGAATAAAGCGAAGCTATTCTTCTACTCAAAGACAAACCGCTAAGCCAAGAAATTCGAAGGACGCAAAAACTTCCTTATTTTCATTTTCCTGGGACTATGGCTCGGACAATGAACACGGTTGGATTTCTTCATGGCCAGCCACTTTGTCTGAGTGTTTTTTTCCACACTATTTTCCCCTAGCCACAGTCCTTCCTACACAGTGATGAGTCCCTTCCGTAAGTGCACTAACCGAACTCAACGGGGTAAAGGCGAATTCGAGCCAAGAGAGGAATGGAGACCATGCTAATGTTGATTGATAAAGCGTTGATTAAAACGGAAAAAAAAATGAAACACACTGTGAAAACAGGATTTTGCCTTCACAAAAACAGACGGACAGGGAACAACTCGATAAACTTCCTCTGGGAAAAGGCTTTCCTGGGGCACTCGCTGGCCGCAGGAAGGCCGGAATCTATTACAGCTGTTGACTATCCTTGAGACAATGGCTAACAATAACAAAGTTGGCCTCAACGTAGGTTTATTCTATAAGCACTACTGAATTGACTTGTTTTTGACCAAACCGAGTTTGACCTGGCCAAAACTAGCTCGACCTGGCTTGACCAAAGAAAGCGTTACAAAACAGCTCTATTTAAGCCTGAGGCACAGAGGATTAGGTAATGCCATGAATTATCTAGAGAATCACGTAATCTACAACAACGATTGGCTAGGCAGGAATTTCGCCTTTTCCAAGCTAGAAAAGTTCTGGTGGGTAATAACTACACAAAAGCCCATGACAGGTGACGCTTAAAGTTTAACACTAAGTACCGTTATGATTTAATAACAACTGTTTACGGCTCACTGAATGAGAACTGGTAGCATTTACGCTTTGCTGAGCTTAGCAAAATCTCGCAGTCTCTACGTTGAATTTTATGTGTATTTTTTTTTTAACGCTAGCATAAAAACTCGATAACTTAAAAGCCTATCGTTACAACTCTGTTCAAATTTCTAGGTATTTTTTTTGCTGGAAAAGCTGTGAAATGTCCGAAGCTATAGACCCAAAAATTGCCTTCTTCTCAGCGGTTCATGGTCTAAGCAGTCGTCAACCTTATTAGAATATGCGTCACTAACAATGAGAGAATTCGAACATTTGTCCTTGGCCATTTTGAGACCCCCATCGTGTTTGTCTAACTTGCGTAAAATCACAATGAACTCTGTGCACTGGCTAAATAAAAGTCTTGATAAAAGAACTACGTGGTAAGTAGAGTAATCCGACATAAATTATGTTGACCATATTAACCAGGACAATCCTCGGCCGATGAACCTCACAGTTCTTTTCTAAAAAGAAAGTTGTACAAAAATACATGTAGTTTTGTTGTAACTCCCATTGCGGGCCTATGTTCACGTAAACATCCGGGCAATCTCCCATGTGCTTTGAGAGGAAAAATCGTCACGTTCATTTTCGAGAATGTTTGGTTGCTGTTTTATTGTCATTGTTTGAAAACCCTAAGCTCGAACAGTCGGTGAGTTTTCATTTCAGTTGTTAATGTTGTAATTTCGTTTGTTTTAAGCGTGTTTTCTGTTTGCAGAAAACCTCTCCTTTACTGGCGAGTCGAGTTTTCGACTATGGCAAATGTTTCTGTGAAATAAACAACATTTGTTTCTTTTCTATGTCCACGATTTGCAAGCTATGCCATCAGTAACAGAAACAATTTTTAACATTTTACCTTTGCTTTGCTGTCGACTTTTTTGGTTGTTTCTATAATTTGATTCTTTTTTCCTTCTATAGTTCCACAGTTTATGAAAGTACAGTTTACGGTAACTTGTTTACGGTACTTACACTTCTAAACGAGTACGTCATGTGACCTTGGGAGGCTAACAAGTTGATGTCTCCGGTTCCGTTTTTCAAAGCAATTATTGGGGTATGCTGTTTATAGAGCGTTAATGGACATCTTACCTAACAACTACAAAGAACCGGTTGGAAAATATCCTTCGCGGTCCACCCGACGAAAACCGATTACATAACCTATAAATGTTTTAGGTGTCGCCACTCAGTTATCTAATAATTAGCTGATACTGATACTGATACTGATTCGTTAATGTGGTTTTCATAGGCCATTTGGCGAATTTCAACTGTACAAAAATGATGTGTTTCTTACCAATCAATTAAACAATTCAACAGATATAGATAAACCTTGCATGATTCAAGGGCAGAGTCCAAAACTTCAATACAAAGAATTTTGAGCATAGAAATCACTCTAAACATTAGGCCCCGTGATAATTAATAAGACCTAAACTACAGAACTATTTAAATTTTTTGAAAAATTCCCATCAGGGTAGAATATAGACTAACTACAATATGGGGACTAACTCTGCAGAACTCTGGCTGGTTCATTCTGACAAATGCTAAGAGCCGTTGACAATTCTGTTTCTTTACAGTAAGTCAGCTAAACGTGGGAATTCACAGTTTACTAATCTATCATACAGATCTCCAACATTCTCAATCAACCCCTGTTTTCGAGCATGCTCCAGGGCGGCATCGCATGGATTTAAAACCCGCTTGTCGAGGAATCTGATTTCTGCTGGAGTCAAACCCAGTCTCTCCGCAAAGAACTTCCACTCTTCGCCACCTGAAGGGGAAAAAAAGAAAACAACCATTTAGAGTCCTGGCCAAACCTTTGAAACAATTACAATTATTTTTTATCTTTAGACCCTGAAAGTTTTACATGTATTAAGAATCCTAATAAAAATGATTATCTGCCAGTGGGTTAATGATAATGATCGCCAATGTGCTCTTTTCTATCTAGCCAAATTTCTCTAGAGGGTTTACGTATATTTTACGAGGAATTTCGAGGAAAAAGAACGAACAACAGTATTTAGCGGCGCATTTCGCAGCCACGAAATTATAGGGTTTGTACGTTGTTAACTTCAAAAATCATATGTCACAAAAGTGGAAAGGCGTAACAGCTAACCCACAGCATCTTTAACCTATATCCTTGATGTGGTTCTGACAGACTCTTGACTGAAAAGGGTAGTTCACCAGAAGGGTTGCGGTCTCCTCGAATAGTGGCGAGGAAAGTTCTGTTTTCATGTCATTGAGGGGTTTATAATTGCCCCCTTTGAGATAGAGTGCTCACAGCCATTAATGCAATCGAGAAATATATGCAATATAGTGGAGGACTGTGTGAAACGTTTCAGTAGCAATAACTAGGAGCTTACTTTGGACTGAATGGATAACCCAATAAAAAAGTAAGTATTGAAAAAGTGTTCCGTCTCACCGGAAAGATTAATTGTTAATTCTTGTCTCAGACGCAAAGGAATCGTTGCAACATCACGCTGTTCAGGCAACAAAGGACCTACAGGAGGAGAGATTTATCGATGAGAGCAAAACATAAACAACTGAGGGTATGGTTACGGTGATAATTTTACATATAAAATCAAAACAAGCAGCACACGTTACATATCATTTTCTATTCTGGTAAACCACCATTGTTATACCTTATGCGCATTCCATATTGCTGCAACGTAATACTTTCATCGTATCATCAGTTTGTCGGCGCCACAACATCGTAGAAGTGTACCATGCTTGTACCCCAACACAATGCAATGACTACTAATATTTTCATACCATTGAAAACTAACATTTGCTTCACGCTTTTATTCCGTTCACACGAAAAAGACGGTTACAACAGAGAGAGAGAAAAAAAAATACATATATACATATATATGCTAATAAAAAAAACGGTTTGAATAACCAAGGGAAAAGAAACACCTGGACCAATCATAAGTTCAATTAACAATTCCTGTGAAATATATTAAATTCAAATAACAACGGTCAAGTGATAATATACATATATCTTATTAACCGAGCGCGAGAGCCGTATTGGGAGAATATCGGCCCGAGGTCTTGACAGTACGGACCGAGCGCAGCGAGGTCCGTACAAAAAAGACCGAGGGCCGATATTCTTCCGGTACGGTCCCGAGCAAGCTTGGTTAATAAGAGATTTATCATACGACTGAAGTTCAAAGGGATACAAGTGTGGTATCATTCAGGACCATTCGGGACAGTGCCCGGTCCAATACTTAGAGAATATCGGACCGGCAATAGAGCATTTTGATTGGTTGATTTTAGTTATTGGCCCTCTGACTGCCCGAGTCGTGTAATAGATAATAACAACAACTACATCTTTTAATATGAGCACAATCAGTCTGATTGATAAGAATACACTATGTCTTGGCTAAAGCAATATAACTGAACCGTTGCTGACCCTAACATAAAACTGATGCATCTGATCTTACTTAATCTCTCTGTGACACAAGTAAACAGAGCAAATGATAGTGACCAGTGCACCTTAAAAAATGTACACCTTGCGCAAAAATGAAGCACTCCCTAAGATATATATACCCCAACATTCCACTGACATCAGTAAAAGTTTAATTTCAATTCACCTGTTGTACCCGCGGGAGTGATTTCTCTCAATTTTTTGACAACATCCAGCTTGTTCGCAGTCTTAGCCTTCAAACAAAGATAGCGGATCTTCTTCTTAGTGTCCAGGTCTGGTTGTTCCAATGACAAGTTCTCCAAGGAAAGACTTTTCTGAAATTGGGCCACAACCGCACTTGCATCACACGTCTGTGTTGTTAGGGCCTCAAGCACTCCACCGCACAGGACTACTGCTTGGTCGTTATGGGCTGGATTGCAAATGTAACGGGGTCAAAACATAAAATAAATAAAAAAAAAAAAACAGGAAAGTAATGAAACAAGGGAGCATAGAAGTCTACCTATTTTATTTAGCATTGTTTTATTTTTCTATCAATCAACGCACATGAAATACGAAAACCGTTTGGACCTGACAGACAGAGCTGAATAACGTCTGCGCACGCGCTAGGTTTTGGCGCGGTGACAGGGATTTTGAGTCGTTCGCTTGGTTGACTTTCTGTTCTGTTGTTTCGAGGCGTTGTTTTCCTCGCCGCTTTTCTTTAGTAGCGCAACTCCCAAAAACTTTGTACACCCCCTTAATATTTTGGGAAATTAATTTTCGTCTTAGAAACGTTGGAAATAGGAAAATGCCTTCGACGACAACAAAATGCCTCGGTTTTAAAGCCAGCTCCTTAATATTTTGGCAAATTTCGCTAACTATTTAACCTCGCACACTAAAGCCCGTGTTGTTGACTTCATAACATTTCATTATTCAGCTCTGTCGACCTGACACTGACTGGCTATGCTGGGTGAAAATATGTAGTGGTCTACCTAATAATAATTTAATTATTAAAAAGTTACATAGTAGAAGCTTACCATCTCCACTACAAGGCAAAGAACGTCTTTCATCACAGCTGTCAGTAGCTTGCTATATCAAGAAAAAAATTAAGAAATTACCGCTTTTATATAATCACAATATTGCAAAGTATCACAGTGACTGTTTTAATCAAGATATCTACGAAGTCGTTCTAACCACAAAGACGCATCAAGGCACCGCGGTTTTTAGTGACACGACTGCTTGCACTGCAAATCGCTATGTCATGTCGTAAATCATTTGCTTTGGATAATAACAGTGGAGGTAATCGAGAGAATGACATGAAATATTTTATGCAGCAAGCCTCTCACCAAAATTCCATGCACTGTCTCAACAAGGTAACTTGAGCTAGAGATATTCACTCCCAAGCCAGTATATCTCTTCCTTTTTTCAGGTGCGGAATTGAACTCATAATTATCAAGAAAAAATAAGGAATGAGACGTATAAATTATTCCATAGCACATTACCTGTTCCTTTAATGGTCTAAACCAGAGTCCAATAAAATCAACAGGAACCTTGCAATTTGCAGCAACAACCGACCGGGTGCATACAATGGACCCATGGCTTGCACAGAGCTGAGACTCCGACAACAGGTGCAGGCATTGCTCTTCCTTACAACCACGCACATTATGGCCGCGGCAATGATCCACAGAACGGCTGGCACAACACACTGGACAGCATACTGAGAGATCATATGCCATGTTCCTGAGCCAGGGAAACTCTTTTCGGATGCACTCGAGAATCAGTCCTAATTGTCGACAGACTGCACGAGCAAATTCCAACTGAAAGGCGTCGTATGTGGATTTTGAACACAAGTTCATTCCTGATGCTACATCTGATGAGAGCTCCGTGGCACAGCCTTCTTTGTGAACAACTACCTCAATAAAGGAAGAATGGCATTGAAGGATTAGAGAACAACCTTCCACAGGATGAGTGTAAAATCTAGCAAAGTTTTGAAGCAACTGAGGTTGCGTTTGACTGGAAAACTCCTTCGTGCACCACTGAAAGACCATTAAAACCAATCGAGGAAAAAGGCCAAACGGTACTTGACTTGACGTGAACTTAAGATAAAGTGGCGGGATCCCTGCGGAGGCAATCAGCTCACTCAAATCCTCCTGCGGTGGGAACTTCAACATGGAAGGTACAAGGTATTCAGTGGGTGAATCACTCGCAACTGATGACGACAAGGGGCATAACAAGCAGAATTTCTCCATCATAGCAATGAGGCTGTCACAAGTTTCTCCATTGTCAAACAAGGGGCCCCATACGTGTTGGAAGAGATCTTCTTTCAAGATTCCTTCTTTCTCAAGCTTTAGCCACAGTTGCTCGTGTTTTCTCTCTTTTCTTTGGTATGGCCTAATGGTAATTACTTCCTTGAAGACATCTATCAACCATTGAGGGTCCAAGATCACCATTCTGTTTAACTGTTGAGTGTCGTCAAAATGAATAATAATTCTGTGATCGTGTAAGAAGTTCAACATTGCCACAAATTGTTCATTGATGGAAATACCACATTTTTCGGCCGCAATGTTTTTGGCTTCATCGAGGGAGATCCACTTGTGGCCAGCTTGATTCTTCACCTTCATTTCCTTTTCAAACTTTAACCACTTGATCGGAACTCCCTCTTTCGGTTGTGGCAACTCTTTGGCAACTGTTTTAACCTCCCTCCTCAGACGATCTACCTCTGGACATTTTTCCACACTTCCGGATTTAGTGTTGTCCACAAAAAAGAAGTCAACGAGATGGTCACCATAGACCCGCGTCTTTAGTGAGCCAAATATCTTGCAGGCCAACCTATGAGGATTTGAACCTTTATAAGGTTTATCAGCGTGAGTGCAAACAAGGAAAACTGGAGGAAGCCTCTCTGGTAATAAATCAGATGCAGGCAGTTCATGGAAGTCTTCGTCTGCCAAAACTAAACTCGATACGGAGGACATCCACAAGTCAAGATAGTCCATGTTACTCCTTTCACAGAAAACATCCTCGATATCCTCGTAGAATCCGCGCTTCACTTGTGGGCTGACTTTACCATTTGGATCACGGCTAAGGTTATAAACTAAGAGGTATATCGCCCTTGTTGTGAGGAATATAGGATGGGTCGCATAATAAACAGACTGACCACCAAAATCCCACAAAACTGAGTATAGATCTTCATCTTGGACACTATCGGCTTCTTCTTGTTGACGCCAAGTTTCAACCAAAGCAGTTGCTATCTCATCCGGTAACCCGTTTAGCTCTGATTGATCCGGTCCAGTGCCGACTTCATCACCCGTAACACCTGTTTCTCTTGAACTATTATGCGTCACATCCGCATGATCTGAATCTGTTTCTTCAACTCCTCCGTTTTTCCAAAACTCTTGGGAATCTTTGGAGTAGGTGGGGTTATCAACATTTATATCTTCTTTGAGGCTCTTCAAAATACACTCAGCTGTTCGTTGTACATAGGAAATGGGTCCTGGATCTGAAGTTGTAGCTTCCTCTCCACCATCTCCTATTTTCCATACGTCTGGAGAAACTTTGCAGTAAGAAGGGTCAGTCTCTATTCCTTTGGTGGTAGTTTCTTCTGCGTTGAAACGCTCTCCCTTTAATGACCCCTTTAAACTTGTTTTTCCCGACTGACCTTGTCCAATGAACATGATGGGGACTCTTTTTACAATGGTTTTCCCCTCTGAAATAGCTTTATGATAGGCTGAAACGGCTGAAGGGCCTCTGAAGATAATCTCCAGTGGGGCTATATGGGTAAATAAGGAAACGTCATGTGATGAGAACGTTTTCGATCGTATAACTAAAAAGCACCTAACAAGGGTATCAAACTGAAGAATAAAAAGGGAACAATAAGGCTTTGAAGAGAGTATGTGGCGTTATTTCTACTTTATCTATCTTTCATTTGCAATTAAGAGATAAGCTGTGATCAAAAGGAAAAAAACACGAAAAGCCTAGAAATCTTGTGGAATAACCCATTTTCATTGGCCTCTTTTTCAAAACAAGTCCTGGTGCTCATCTTCTCATATGATTACAAGTTCTCAATCACATGCAAATTAAAGTTGTGTTGAAAAAGAGGCTAGAGGTAATTCGGGAATGGCCTATTACCATCACTGCAGTTAAAGAGAGTTACATGTTGATGTTTGGCTATTCGGATGGAGTAAGTTACACTGGCCACAGTTTACTCAAAGGAAACTTTGACTTTTCAAGAGTTTGAACCACAACTTTGTGAGTTCAATGATAGTTACAATCAAGGCCTGATAATTAATGGTGTCATAATTTAATCAGTTGATTTTAAAAAGCAAAGAAGAAACGTACCCAATAATTGGTCTTCTAAAGTTTCTGTCTCAGGTGACAATAAATTAGATGGAATATTATTGGAATACTTTTTCATTTCATCTATAACATCCCATCTGGCTACAATAGGATCCCTTAACCAACCAAGGAGATCATTTATGGTCTTTTTTAGTTGAATCATCTTTTCGATAAGTACTTTCATCTTTCCATTTTCTTGAGTGTTCTCCGAGTGTCGCTGGATGAAAGAAAAAAAAAACAGCCATGAACATATCTGTACCAATTTAAAGAATATATCAATCAAATTAATGAAAAGGAATTAATCATTGTCACGCCAATCCAAAGACTATATCTCCTGGAACAAGTGCCTATGCTCCAATAATGATGTGCTCTCTCCCAGAAACCACCTACCCCATATAGGCTGTAATGTCAAACAAGCACCCCCCTCCAATAAGCACCCCCTCCTCTCTGTTTCAATTGCCACTTTACTCATAGCTTTTTAAGCTTCAACTACAGCAGAATCAGTACAGCAGAATAATAAGTGTCCTCCTCAATAAGAACCACTGCCCATCAATGTCAAGAATCTGCTGACAGTTGAAAAATTTTGTGATTCACTTTATTTTTCCTATTGGAGTTTTATGATCAACCATTCTCAGAAATTATTTTATAAATTTCTATCCCACTTCGCTTTTGCCAAAAAAATCTGAAAGGTTCAAAATACACCTAGATGGCCGTTGTCCCCCCTGTTCTCCAGTTACACAAGAAAAAGTTATGCAACTTTGGCAACTTTAATTTGTATGCCACAGTACCATACAATCCCTCTTTGAAGTGTTTTGTACCAGAAAACAGTCCTTTTATCTCTTTGAAAATGTAAAAGTCAACAAATTCCTCACAAATGACAATTAATCATAGTTTCCATCAATAATTACCCAAACTGAGCGCATCATATTTCCCATCAGCGATGGGGGAGCGTTTGCTGGCAGAAACTTGGCCTTGGCTAAAGTTGTTCAGTTTACTGTCACTTTCTTCACGAGTGAATTGTATTGTGGATGCTGCGCTGGGGGGAAGTGGGTGATCATCTTTTTGACCATCAAGTGGACCATCAAAGTTTTCTCTTGTAGATGGGGGAATAGGGCTTTCTGGTGTTGGAAATGGGGGAACAGGGCTTTCTGGTGTTGAAAGTCTCTGAGCTCCTGATAATAAAGAGTCAGCAATAATTCTTGGTTAAGAATTTCAAAATTTCCAAAGGGTATAGTTTACCTTCTATTGACTGACCTAAAATGGATAAAGGGAGTAAGTTTCTGAAGAAACTGTGGTGCTGCATCGGTGGGGGCAACAGGGTAATAGACCTAAAATGGGTTGACTGACTGACTTACTGACTAACTCATTCACCAACTCACTATGACTGACTGACTCACTTACTGACTGACTCAAGTACTACCAACTCATTGACTCATCCATTGCCTTACTGACTCTTTAAGTCACCAAGTCATTTTGTCACTGACTCACTCACTTACCGAGTCAGTGACTGATGATTGATTTATAGTCGATTAAACTTTTCCACGGGTGAAAGTTGTGAAATAAATCTGTCACCACTGTAGAAAAGAGTGCTTATGTCCAAAAATTAAATAAATATTACTTCCTTAAAGTTGTAACGTGTGACCATTCTAAGGTACCCGAAAGTTATGAAATAAATCTGTTACTATACAATAGAGAAGAGTGCTTATGTCCAAAAATAAATAAATATTATTTCGGGTTACAATGAATATATGAAGTTCATATATTTTGAACTGCGGTATTAGATACGTATGATGCACGATCCTCGCAGTAGATAGCGCTATTTATGCAATAGCAAAAATCAGACCTGAAAAAAAATGAGGCCTGTACGGGACTCGAACCACTGACCTCTGCGATACTAGTGCAGCGCTCTACCAATTGAGCTAACAAGCCAACTGGGAGCAGGCCGTTAAGTTGATTCGTAATAAACCCGTGAAAGTGATAAATGAGATACAATGAATATATGAAGTTCATATATTTTGAACTGCGGTATTAGATACGTATGATGCACGATCCTCGCAGTAGATAGCGCTATTTATGCAATAGCGAAAATCAGACCTGAAAAAAATCAGGCCTGTACGGGACTCGAACCACTGACCTCTGCGATACTAGTGCAGCGCTCTACCAATTGAGCTAACAAGCCAACTGGGAGCAGGCCGTTAAGTTGATTCGTAATAAACCCGTGAAAGTGATAAATGAGATACAATGAATATATGAAGTTCATATATTTTGAACTGCGGTATTAGATACGTATGATGCACGATCCTCGCAGTAGATAGCGCTATTTATGCAATAGCGAAAATCAGACCTGAAAAAAATCAGGCCTGTACGGGACTCGAACCACTGACCTCTGCGATACTAGTGCAGCGCTCTACCAATTGAGCTAACAAGCCAACTGGGAGCAGGCCGTTAAGTCGATTCGTAATAAACCCGTGAAAGTGATAAATCAGATACAATGAAATATATGAAGTTTATATATTTTGAACTGCGGTATTAGATACGTATGATGCACGATCCTCGCAGTAGATAGCGCTATTAGCTTAAATATTTGAAGCTGTTCACTGTTTCTTAGGTTCTGTATTTTTTTTTTNCGCGCAGAATTATTAGCTTGCGAGCAGGCCTTCATAGACAGCGCCACGGCTCGAGTGCCATTTGCCCGCGAGAAACTTTTAGTAACTACAAGGGTTCTAGCACTAATTATCATTTGTGCCGGACCCACCTCTCTCTGGCTCGCTTTGCTCGAGGGCGAGGGAACGTGATCCAGCGTTTTAAGGATACGGTAGACCTTCGAGGGCCAATTTTGTTTAAATTCTTTTTTTCAAGTCAAACTTAGCATTATTATTTTAAATGAAATTTCCAAGAAAAGAAATATTGATAAACACGCGAGTCATTTACAAAAACGTATATTCGAACTGAATTTCAAAGCCCGCTAAAGTGTAAATAGCCAATTAAAACATGTCAACAAATGACTCCCAAGGAGTTTCTTGTCGCAAAACATCCTGGTTGCGTAAACATCTCCTTATTTTGGTTGCACGTACAATATTGTAGTGGTAGATTAAAAAAGATACATATGGTTCCACATGTTTTATCCTCTCAATAAATTAGCCTCGACAAGGTGGTACAGCTTAGATTTTCTATGCGCTTTTGTCATCACGTTAAGTTATAACAAAAAAGTTTCCAACTATATCTTCGCACTTAAAACAGAGCGGACTTATAAGGTTATTTATTAAGAATTGGGATACCGAAGACGAAACTTCGAAAGTCTCTCTGCACTAGTTATGTTTTTCGATGTGGGTGTGACATAAACAAATGATAAAACGAACACCGAAGCTGACGTTACAAAGACGTCTTTAGTGGAGTGATTTACTCGGTTCTCGATCGGTTCCGCTGCCGATTAAAGGTCCTGAAGTGAACACTGATGTGCAAATCATACACAATAGAACGATTATCTGTGAAACGAGCACTTCAGAATACTGACGACAGAATAAACGGTAGCGAATACACCCTCTTTAAATTCATCAGATACGGAAGTAGTTATGTTCCAAGAAATCTGAAAACTGCATATTCAAGCACCTCTGTACATGACCGTAAGCGGTCACATACAGAGATTATTTTAGGACTCTTTTACAATATGGCTTTCTCAAATATATAGCATTTTTCAATAGCGTGCAACATTCATAAAAAATTAACACACGACACAAAAGACGAGGTGATAGAGCTGAAAAGCTACCCGCAAAATATATGAAATATATGGAATCATTATCGCGACAGCCATAAAATCTCTTCTCTTTCTAATCTATATAAAAGATATCCCCAATTACTCTGAAATTTTTTATTTTCATCTCTTTGCTAACGATACTAATTTAATTTATGCTGATAAAAGTCTGAAATCACTTGAGACTGTTGTTAATAATGAGCTGAAAAACGTTACTGACTGGTTAAATGCTAACAAATTAACTTTGAATACTAAGAAATCTAATTATGTAATCTTCCGTCCCTCACAAAAGAAACTAAATTCAACTATTGACTTAAAAATAATTGATAACAATACTAACGATATCACTTCCATGGAATATAAGGAATACGTGAGGTACTTGGGAGTCCTTATTGACAGTACTCTAAGTTGGAAACATCATATTAATTACATAGTTTGCAAAATAATTAAAACTGTCCGTGTAATCGCCAACATCAGACGTTTTGTCCCGTCTGACACACTCCTCGAAATCTATTAAACTCTGATTTTTCCCTGTAAACACAATGGCATAGTTACTTGGGCTCAAGCTGCAGAAACTCATATGAACAAAATTTTTTTTTACAAAAGCGTGTTCTTCGATTTATATATGGTATGGAATACAGAGCTCACTCATACCATACCACTATTTATTTCTGCAAATATTTTACCGGTTAACATGTTGTACTTTAAAACTGTGGCTGCTCAAATGCATGATGTATCATCTGGCATAACACCCTTTAAAATATCAAATCTCTTTATTCAATCTCATAAAATTCACACATACAATACGAGATTTTCTAATGCTGGCAATTATTGTGTCAACAAATCAAGGCTTAATTAACCTAGAACTTTCTTCATTTTCAAGACTTGGTCCTAAAGGATGGAATAACCTTCCATGTAGCTTGCGCTCCTTGCCTAATAGGTCTTTTAGCAAAAAAGTCCATACACTTTTGTTAAAATTACTCAACAATGAAAACAATAATGACTCTAAAAAACGATTGTTGCTAAAATGACTGCTGGACTTATGGAACTAAAATAGCACCTTCTAAATTTATTTACATTAATAATCTACTGTAAACTTCATACTTTAATTTACTTTGTTTGCTTCGTTGTCACTCATAATCATATACTTGTGTTGTGGGGGTTTTACCACTCGCTTGGCGAATTAACAAGAGGTACTGAGACTGTAATTTTCTTCTTTATTCTCCTATACTGCTGCTTCCACTACAGCTGATTTTCTCTCTCTTTCTCCACTGCTTATTTCTACTACTTTCAGCAAGGAGTGCTCCAGTATTAAATACAAAAATCACAGACATGTTTGGGTTAGCTGACCGTGGGAATTTCCAAAACAGGATGTTCAGTGTGGGTAAAACTCAAGGTCAGTTTCACCAACCCAAACATGACCACCTAACAAACTAGTTATCCTCAACC